GGTGGGTTAGCACAGCAGGTGTCATGGTCTGCTTATTAGCTGGCTACCCTTTAGGAGGTCGTTGGGGATGCTTGCTGGCTATAGGGGTACAGCTTGCTTGCCAGCAGGCAGGCAGTGGCTAGCAGGGACTAAACCCTCTCCATAGTTACCTGTCTGCCCCCAGTTAGCTTGGCTCCCTCCTGGGGGTGGGTGGAGCTCTCATTAGCAGTTCATCCTCAGGGTCCTGTAGTTCCAAGGTGGTGTCACCCACCCTGCTATCTGCAATTGCCCCTGACTCTGACCCCGGATTATTCCCTAAGATTCCTTGTCTGCCAGGCCAATGTGTTCAGTATCTGGGGCCCCTTCACCTATGGGTTGTTTGGATCCTCTAGCACTTTGAGTCCCAAGTGACTGAGTCCGCTTAAGGACCTGCTTATGGCTAGTTCTTGTTCTCTCTTTTGGCTCTTTGTGCTCACGCCCCTTCAATGCAGAGGTTCCAGGAGCTTGGGGCCCCCAGTGCTCTCCCAGCTCACCAACAGAATCTTGACAACTGGGAGATGTCTTCCCAAGTGTACCTCCTTGCTCCCGAAATGGGGTGTCTTGGTGAGACTGTCTCTCCTTTCCATTTGGGTGAGGCCTTTTCATCCTTCGTTGTGGAAGCGCAATGCGTTCGGGGTTCAGGTCTGCTTCTGTGTAGGTCCGTCTAGATTAGGTGTGGTCTTGGCACGTGATCACAGGAGGAGACAGTACAGGTTCTTACTCTGCCATCTTGAGCCGCCTCCCTTGCTTCCTGATGAAGACAAGTCACCTCAAATGCTTAAGCTGTTTGACTTAATACAAGAATGAATGTTTAATTTACCTGAACCCACCATGTTCAGATCTCAATTAATTTTGTACTCATTTTTCTCAGGTGTGGAAGGAGACAGGTTGAAGTTCATACTTGTTGTCAGATGAAAGCCATCTTTCTGCTGGCTCACACCACCTTCTTTCTGTCTGCCATACTCTCCCTCCAACTCAGAAAGTCCATTGTGATAATTATTAATATTTTGGACAATAAAATTGATCTTTGAAATAATCCATTGTATGAGTTGACAGGGAAGGTTGTTGTTTATACTAACCCAACTTGAATCCTCATCCAGTACACATGTGGGTGCTCCCCAAAGTGACCCAAAAAGAAACTCTACCAGAGACCAGGAACATTTTGAGTATTTAATCTGACATATCAGGGCTAAGAACTTTACATGGACTCTTATTTAAAACTGAGGCAATTCTTTGACGAAGGAGCCGAACTTTTATTCTAAAATAAAAAGATTGGCAGGACTAACATCCTTCTCAGCTGCTGCTCTGCTCACCTGCACTAGTCCAGTGATTTTTTAAACTGGCCTTGACCTTGAAGAATGTAAGGTGATTCAATAGCCTTGAGAGAATAATTCTTTAAGGTCTAAACATGATTTTTATATTTATTTATTTATTTTTAAAGATTTATTTATTCATACAGAACTAGGGTACAGGCCAGAGAGGCGGAGGGTGAGAGGATTCACCAGAGACAGAGCGGGGAGCAGAACAGGCAGATCAACGAAGTACAATGCTGAGGGGAGCAGCGGGCGGGTCAGGAGAGGTCTGCCTCGCCATGTGGATCTCCTCTGGGGCAGGTGGGGCTCGAACTCATGCGGAAGTGGCTTAAGCTTCTTAGTGCAGTGCTTTAACCCGCTGCGCCACCAGGGAGGACCTAAACATGATTTTTAAAAGAACTGTTTCTCATTTTGCTATAGTCACAGGAATGCTATTCTCTTTCACTAGTATTATGCCAGAATGGGCAGAGCATACCCTGCTCACCTGGTGATACATGACAGAATGGGGAAGGAAAGAAGGCCAGTCCTGAGCTCTAAGGGATGACACGGAATAAATGAACATGTGTGAGAACTGTAGGGCTGAGATTATAGTCCCTGCTTTCTGCTGAATGACATCATCTGGATATTGCACAGAAGTTCTCTCAACCTCATTTGCTTTGAGGAAAGAAAGCATCAAGAAGAGACAAAGTTTTGGCAGTGAATGAAGTCCCAAGCTCTAAGAAAAATCAGTTATATCAGTATAGATTAAGGGATTGGATGTTTGTTCTAAAGACACTCATTCCAGCACTGAAAGATGGAAGCTGGGAGTGGAGATGCACCCCCCTCACCCTCTCTTGTGAACCCCTCTCCCTCATATTGGTCTGGGGCTTCAGTTGTCTGTGTCTGAAATACCCCAACTGGGTTTACGTTCCTGTACACTGGTTGATAAGTTCTGATGACACACCCCACTCATATCACTAGGTATAGACATCACTAGGACATGAATTGTCATTTTAGGATAGTTTTAAGGATTTTGTAATGGTGTTTGTGGTGTTCAAAGACCAATTCTGCTAATTTTTTAATTGCACATTAAATCATTTAAAGTAATTTAACAATCAGGGCTTGAATGTTTAAGAAAACTTGATTTTCAAAGTCTTGTTTATTAAACTTGTAGGCTTAATAAATTGAGCATTCAGGCCCTCCCTGGTGGCGCAGTGGGTTAAAGCACAGCACTGAGAAGCTAAAGCCACTTCCGCATAAGTTCGATTCCTGCCTGCCTGGGAGGTGACCACATGGCGAGGCAGACCTCTCCTGACCCACCCGCTGCTCCCCTCAGCAGTGTACTTCCTTGATCTGCCTGTTCTGTTCCCCACTCTGTCTCTGGTGAAGCCTCTCACCGCCCCTGAGTCTCTGGCCTATACCCCAGTTCTGTATGCACAAATAAATAAATCTTTAAAAAAAAAAATTGAGCATTCAAATAAAAATAGCAAGTTGTATTCTTTCTAGGGGGAGTTTGACAAACAATTATTTAGAGAGAGAGCACTAAATGAATTGTGATCCAAAAAAGCAGAATGTAAACTTTCTCTTTAAATGAATATGCAACACTCAACCACTTTTATTGTTGTCTTTTTCTTTCTGGTTGAAAAGAAGTTTGACCCGCACTGGATGTGAGGCAACTTTCTCCAGACTGAGTGGCAACACCTCTTTTCTTTCCATGGGGAAAGAGGAGACTTTTAGGCTTCAGGAAGTGTGAGCACCCTTTGCCCTTAACAACTGATGTGGTGATTGTCATTTGCTAACCCCGGATGTCCCCCATTGACAGGATGATGAAGAATCTTTCTAAACATAGGCCAGCCACATACTTTTTGAGAGAAGAGACCAAGGTTGGGCTCAGATGATAAAAGGTGAAGGCCAGAGGGTAAGAGAGCTCCGAGAGCTGGGTGGAAGCCCGGCGTCTTCAAGGTGAGAGAGTCACTGTGCACAGGGGAGTAATGCCTTGGGAGCCATGAGAGCCACAGCCCGGGCCAGGCAATGTCCAGCATTTAGAAAGCCTCACTTTCTTTTTCGTTATTCTGGAGCCTAAATGACCATGCTACTGGAAAGCAGTCCTGGCCTCACTCATGTGAGTTATCAGATCAGCTGTCACATCAGTAATCACATCATAAGCACATCACATCAGTTATCACATCGCATCAGTTATCATATCACATCAGTTATCACATCACATCCATTATCACATCACATCACATCATTTATCCCATCAGTTTTCACGTTTGTTGCCTAACCAGCTCTCACCTCAGCTGTTTCATCAGTTATTATAACTTTACAATGTGTTGAATATTTGGCAGAGTCCATGTATGCTCCTGATCTTATCAATCAGGTGTCTTCTCCATGACAGCTGCACAGGAGCTGAGAAATTAGATAAAGGAATTAAGCCAGAAATGGGCAGTTCATTTTGGAGAGACACAGTGGTGCTTTTCTGCAGCGCGGGAGCAGTGTGAAGACTGAACAGTTACTCAGTTACCCTTGGTTCACTTTTATTTCTCAGACAACCACTTAGAGGGATACTAAAAAAGCCTTTGTTAGGGTGAATAAAGTTTCAGTGGTGTTTGACTAGACTTCTGGGTTCTTCACAGCAGAAAATTTTAGGAAACTCTGTTATCTAGACTAGATGACTTAATATTTGCCTGACGTTCAAATTGTCCACTTAAAGTCCTTTATTTAGCTCTATGAGTTTGTGAAGATTTTCTTTCCAAAGGGTGAAGATACAAAAATGAAAGTAATCAAAATACCACTCAATTCTAGAGAATAAGATGGAAAAGTAAACTCCTGACTATGACATTTGTGTGTTTGCTATGACTCCCTGTGCTGGAGTGGGGGGGAGTGGGCCCACGTGTTAGATTTATAGAGGATTGCTAGCTCTCTACCATTTATTCGTGCGTCAAACACTTGTCGAGCGATTATGACGTATCATACATTAGGAAATAGCAGTGAGCTAAACAGACCTGGGCCTTGCCTTCGTGGTGGCAGCTTAAGTGCAGGGGAAGACATTAATCAGATAGTCATGCAAATAACTGCATAATTGCATATTGTCACGAATTCTTGAGGGAAAGATACTTGATGTCAGGAAAGAAAAACCAGTCTGGGGTGGGAACTGTCCTGGGGAGCAGACCTGTAAGCTGACATCTGAGGTACAGCGATCAGCAGAGGTACAGCCACACAGAGCACTGCAATGGACCTTCCTGGAGGTTCCTGGAACTTCTAGAATATGGGCAGTGACAGCAGGAAGCAGAATATGATGGCGGAGTTGCTGACAAAGATATTAGACCCTAGAGCCCGGTTAGCATTTGTCTGGTCTTTGTTCTAAGATTGACAAGAGGCCACTCAGATGTGTAAGCAGAGGTGTGACAGCATCTGGCCTGGCAAGAGTATTGCACTGCCTGAGGGTCTGTGACCCTGGGGGGCTGTGACCCTGGGGCACTGGCAGGCGGTGAGAGGCCATCACTGCAGCCTGCGGCACTCAGCCCTGATTCCTCCAGCCATACCAGCAACCTGCATGGCAGACATGGAGCAGTGTGGTTTTCTACAGTAATGACCACAGCAACTAGGGACCTGGTCCCCTGGCAGGGCTCTGAGGGATTGCTTAGCTTTCAAAAGCACCCCAGGAGTGCTAAATACGGTTGTTATTACTGATTGAAGGATCTCGAAGCCTGCTGCATCATAAAACCACATCTTGTTCCAGCTCACATTCCACTTGGGTTCTTCCCAAAACCGACTCCTCTTGGCTTGAGAACACAAACCTACAAAGCGTGAGGAGTGTGGCTTTGGGCAACTGACAACTTCATGAAATTCTTTTCTTCTTTCCTCTTACTGACCTGCAGAACTTTCACTTAAATCATTTGGGAGATGTCTGTGTCAACTGATAAGTGATATTCCAAACCTTAATATGAGAAGTAAAGTTATTTTTTTTCTGGTGGAATATTAATGGTAGTGTTATTTTTAGTGTTACTTTTTCATCTCAAGTCAGAAAACAGTGCCAACAAAATAATATGGTATCAATCTTCTGGAAATTAATGCTAGTTTTAAGGAGTCTGAATATGATTTAGAACTACTTGTATTACTTCATCTCAGATTCAACAACCAAAACAGTTTATTTGGGGACAGATTATATAAAAATTACTTTGTTATTTTGACAGAGGGAGAAATTCTTAGCTATTGAAAGAGATCACATTCACCCCACCCGCCATGTTGGGGCCTGTAGGCACCCACAGGGAACAGGATGCCCATGGTGGTCCAGGGCTGTTTGTTACGGCTGTCAATGGGGCCTCCAGTGCCAGAGGGAGCACAGAGCTCTTCTTGATACGGAAGGTGTTTATGCCTATCATGAACCTGAGTGTTAGTTGGGCAAGGGACGTGCTGTGTGTACAAGGCAAAGCGAGCTCAGTGACCCTGGGTGGAGAACCAAGTGGAACCAGAGAAATCTGGGGAGAGGTAGGTCATCCACACTGTGTCCAGCCCCAAAGGAACTTTCCTGCTGAAGAGACTGGGCTTGCATGCTCCCTGGAAATCCTTTGTTGAATAGTCAGGTTTCCTTTCTACCTTAATATTCTCGCTTTGACCAACTTCCTCTGATTCCTAGGTTTTCACTTTGAGCAACTACTCCATCCTTCTATATTTCAGAGAAAGTAGAAACCTCTTACCTCCACTATCTTATACACCCACTTCACCCCATCCCCCTCCTTTGCAGTGACTAAAGAGGCACCCCACCCACCTCCTCTCCAGGGAGAACCCTGCTCCTGCACTCAGGAGTAGTCTCTGCAGTCGTCTTCCTTTCTAGAATCTTCTCTTCTTTATATATCCCCCCAACCTTCCCTCCCTTTTTTTCTGGCTTCATTATCTAAAGCATGGCTAAGTGATGCCCATCTCTAGCCAATCAACCAACCAAACAACTATTTTATGGAAAAAGTAGAACCTCTAATCCCTATTGATGGAGTGTAAATTTGTGCAACACTTGGAGTGCAATCAGGCAATACCTGATAACATTTAACATCCACACCTTTTGACCCAAGAATTCCGCCTCCACTATGAATAAATTCCACGGGTGTGTTTAAACAAAGAGATATGGCTAGGATTGTTCACTGGGGTGATGTAATAAACAGTATGTAAACTGAAATGCATCTACTACGATGGGTTGGATTAGCATGTCCTTGGATAGAATGTGGTGGAGATGGATGTTAACTGTGTGTATTAGAGTGCTTCAGAGTTACTGAACCAATATAGGTATGTAACTATAGACCCCATGTGTAACTTTCTCAATAGATCTCTAAAAAGATTTTTGGTAAGAAACAAAAATGTGGCCATTGAGAAGCCCCATGATCTGCCATCTGTGAACCAGATAGTTTACCATGAAAGTCTGCAAAGCAAAGTTACATTATCAGGTAAGATCTTTAGAACTCTAAGGAACTGATCCTTAACTACTTCGTTAAGGATCAGACACTCATTTGAACCCAAATTGTTTAAATCCTAAACCAGCTAGCACAGAAAGAACCCTCTGTGACCTAACATTTGCTACTTTAGTTTCATTAATAATTATTTACAGAAATGTCCACTGTGTGTGTGTGCGTGTGCGTGCTTGGCCACCATTTCTGCAGAGGCCTGATCATGAAACTGCCCCTCACCCTCAAAACCAAGATCCTAGACATTCCACCTTGCCCCTCCCCCACGCCTGTCCAAATGTCAATAATCCAGTACAAACCTTACCTCCTTTTAGAAATGGGAGGCGGTTCTTTCGAGGTGATCCCCCGTCTCCTACTTGATTCAAGTAATTAGACTCTTTGCTCAGAATCTCCAGTTTGGTCGAGTCACTTGATGGATGCATTTCGGCTGCAAACCCTTTGGTTCCAGAGACCAGGAGAGCTGAGGTATATTTCTAATGCAGGCACAGGCGAAGCAATGTCTGGGCGGGAAAGCAGTTGGGCTGAGAGCAAGTTCTGCCTTCCTCCACCTTTTGTTCTCTGCTGGTCTCCAATCTGAGCAATCAGCTTGACTCAATCTACCAATGTAAATACTAATCTTACCTCGAACTACCCTCACAGACACAGCCAGAATAATCTTTATCAAATACTTGAGCACCTGTGGTTCAGTAAAATTGATTTCTAAAATTAACCCATCAGAATATGATGTAGTTTTAAGGTTAAAAAAAAAAAAAAAGTGGGCCCTCCCTGGTGGCGCAGCGGATAAAAGCACAGCGCTGAGAGGCTGGAGCCACTTCTGCATGAGTTCGATTCCCGCCTGCCCCGGAGGAGATCCACATGGTGTGGCAGACCTCTCCTGACCCACCCACGGCTCCCTACAGCAGTGTGGTTCGTCGATCTGCCTGTTCTGCTCCCCACTCTGTCTCTGGTGAGGCCTCTCACCTGTACCTCTGGCCTGTACCCCAGTTCTGTATGCATAAATAAATTAATCTTAAAAAAAAAGTGATAGAATGTGTATAAGGTAAACTTCATTTGTGTAAAAAACACACAGACACCCCACAGGGGCCTGAACTAGCCCTTGTCAGCCAGAGCACACAGTGGGGGTGGCCAGACATGGGGGTGTGCTGTGCACAGTGTTGTCCTAATCCCTGACACTGGGCAGTGTAAACAGGTTTTGTGTGTAGATAAAAAGGTCACACGAGGACACACTGATTCTCTCTGGGTGGCAGAGAAAAGTCTGAGAAGACAGAGATTTTTACTTTT